TTTTTTTTTTTTTCTTTTTTTCTTTTTGATAATACTTTGGCATTTATCCAAATATTCTCAATGATAGCAATTCTTTATCCACTGAAAGTATGTATATTTGGAGAAAGTAAATACAGAGTTTAGTGTAGCCACTGTCTGTTAGGATACTGTACATGTGGGTATGTGGGTATGAGATGGGACAGCAGGGACTGCAGTTGATTTTTCTGAATTTGGGAAACCCTTGCAAAGGTGCTTAAAGCAGGGACATTGCAGGAATAGTGCGTATGTTTCTGAGGTGAACACTGGAAACGGACTACTCACTTGATACACGTGTATTAAACTAATCTTACTGCTTTGTAGCAGATTCGTTTGGCTTCTCTCTTGGGTGAAGTTGAAAAATTAGAAATAAAAGAAACGCCATCCTATACCTTAAAGGCTTTTCTTAATGATGGTGACAGGATGTTACCTAGGACTTCAGCGACCATACCTGTCAGTGTTAGTCAGGGCTGGAATTCTCAAGTGAGGTCTGGCAATGCCCCAGTGGAGCAGTGGGGCGTGGGTACACTTTTCTTCATTCTTGTCAGCCTCCGTTAAGGAAAGAGAGTTTGAGGCTCTTTTGATGTGTGCTCAGCAGAGTTTTGGGGCTACACTGGTTTTTAACTGACGTGTCATTTAATTTTCAGCGTGGCTTTGTGACAGGTGGTGCTGATAAAACTGTCAAGTTCTGGGACTTTGAGCTGGTGACAGACAAAAACAGTGCTCAGAAGAGGTGAGCGGACATTTGTGTGGGGCTTTGGAATGAAGGGAGAGCTGTCATTGTGTGTCTCTGGTCAGGTTTGGAACTGTGTCTGCGGGGTTCTCATCCGTCACTTCTTCCCTGCTGCTTTCTGGGTAGACTTTCTGTGAAGCACACCCGAACCCTGCAGCTAGACGAGGATGTCTTGTGTGTCAGTTACTCCCCCAATCAAAAGCTGTTGGCTGTGTCGCTGCTGGACTGCACTGTGAAGGTTTTCTATGTTGACACTTTAAAGGTACAGTGGTTCTGGCTGGGAATCGTCTTTCTGTGCGACCTTGGAATTTGGGATGATCTAATGTGGCTGTTTTGTTTTAGTCAATTTTTATTGTGTTACCCTTTCTTATTATCTCTTAGATGTCTGTTCTCTAGTGAGAGACAGAAGGGGAGTGGATCTGGATGGGAGGAGAAACTAATCAGAATATTATGTGAGAAAAGAATCTATTTTCAGTATAAGGGGAAAAAATGGACGATACCCAGCAATAGTATGTTTCTAAAAATTGTTTATCAGAACAACTTAAGGGTATTAGAGACACCAGTTGTGTTACAGAGTTTGTCGTTTTGTTTAAAACAAGCACTAGTTCACATGTTCAGAAGATCTGTAGACAGAAATCCCTGTCCTGTCATAGCCAACAGCTTTAAGTTCTGCTAATGGGTCCCATACCCAAAGTCTCAGGACTGCATTGGCCTCAGAGTAATTGTCTCAGAGATACTGTGTGGGCAGACTCTGAGGTGTAAGTTTTAGGGAACCTGACTTTCTTCACTGAGCTTTAGTGTTCATGACAAGTACATGTAGGGTCTGCATAGTAGACACAGGTGATCTTAGCAAGCAGCCCAGAAATGTGTTTAGCATTATAAATTTATATTTGGCTCCATGTGTAACAGCTTGTATTTTGTAGAGTGAGTGATTTCTATTCTTTCTTTATGTTTAGTTTTTTCTCTCACTGTATGGACACAAACTGCCTGTTATATGCATGGACATCTCCCATGTAAGTAAAGTTTGTGGGTTGTCTTCTCCACAGTAGATGCTTCTCTCAGTTTCAGTGTGCTACTTGGTTGTTCAGCACTTGCACCATTCTGTTGAGTTCATTACCCCTTCCTTCAAAGAGTCACAGGTCTGTATTCCAGTCATAGTGTAAATATGCTAATGTTTCATAAACACTATCTAAGTCCTTCAAAATACCCTGGGACTCTGGCAGATTGCTGCTCTAAATTCCACGATTGGGAGGCCATCCTAAAACACGTGGCTTTACAGCCAGCGTCCCTTTGCTATAGGATGACACTGGTGAGGATTTGAATATAAAATTCTGCTCTGTATAAATAGTCTGTCGCATTTCCCCCCAATGACCACAAGTGAAAATGTGTATTTGAAAAGTGTCTACTTTGCACCAAAGGGAACTAATGGAGCCCATAGCTGTTAAGATCCTTGTATTAACACAGCATTTGAACCTAAGCATGAGAGATTAGTAGTGGGGTGTGGGATAGAAGGCTAGGTCATAAACCTTCTAGTAGGTTCTTTTCCAGCTGCATTTTCTCTTTACTTTTCCTGCTCTCTCCACAAATCTCATTCCAGAGATGAGAGCCCCCCCCCTTTCTTATTTAACTGAATGAACAGACAGCTGATGTTAAGCACAGCACTGTTGCGTTCTCCTGTGACAGGGTCAGAGTTCATACATGCTTTCACTTGCCAACCTCTAAGAAGCTCTAGAGGTCCAGGCACGGTATTCTGGGTAAAGAAAATTCTTGCCCTATTTTAATATTTTTTAAGAAATGAGTTAAATATTCTGCTTTTTTTTTTTTTTTTGTCTAGTTTAATGAAACATTGAACAATATGTTGTTTCTGTGCCCTAGGATGGAGCTCTAATAGCAACCGGCTCTGCTGATAGAAATGTGAAAATCTGGGGTCTGGACTTTGGGGACTGCCACAGGTCTCTCTTCGCACACGATGACAGGTGGGTGTAGTCTTGGGACAGGATCTATTGATGGTCTCAGGTAGTGATAAACTGAAAGTCCCAGGGAATAGGCATTCCCAACTACTGTAAGCCTGCCTAGCTTACTGGCCTGGCATTCCTGACACCTACCTCTTTTCACTCTTAGTGTGATGCACCTACGGTTTGTACCTAAGTCTCACCTCTTCTTCACCGCTGGGAAGGACCGCAAGATCAAGCAGTGGGATGCAGACAAGTTTGAGCACATCCAAACGCTGGAGGTAACCCTCGCCTGCTGTGCCTGATCAATGCTTTCAGAACTTTCTGTGAATGCTTACCGTGCCCACTTGCATAAGCAGGTAGTAAATGATAAGTAAGTTGTAATTCCTTGCGTCGGTTTGGTTTTCCATTATTGTCCAGGGGCACCACCAGGAAATATGGTGCTTGGCTGTCAGCCCCAGTGGAGACTACGTTGTATCAGCATCTCATGACAAGTCTCTGAGACTCTGGGAGAGAACGAGGGAGCCTCTTATTCTTGAGGAAGAAAGGGAAATGGTAAGACCTTTGAGTTTGTTTTCAGGTCTGGTGGAGTAGCTTATAGACTGTCCCTGCTGAAGTTTCCTGTCCAGTGCAGTCACGCTCACACAGGAGGTGTTTTCAAGGCCAGGGCCAGCCGTTCCCACAGCCAGGGTGACACAGGTGCCATTGGTGTCCTGATGCTCTGAAAGAAGCCCTTTCCACTGCTTCCTTCGCTCTGCAGAATCTGTTCTTCCCTCAGTATAACTCTGTGTGTCTTGGCAGCAAAGGGAAGCGGAGTATGAAGAGAGTGTGGCCAAAGAAGACCAGCCAGCGGTAAGCGAGCCTTTTGGGCATACTGGAGTTGCTTAATTTCAAGAACTTATAATGAGAGAGGAATTGAGATTAGATGCCAGAGGCCCTGCCAGCTAATGTAATGTTTTATTCAATTATAAAGTCAGTTCTGTGGCCAGCTTGTATGAAGATTCTCATCATTAGATGCCTTCTTTTTGGAATGAAACTTTATAAGAAATTATAATTATTGAGCAAAACAAAAATTTAGATAAAAAGATTGAGAAATTGGATACTTTATGAACATTTGCAGGATAATGCTAATGATGACACAAATAAAACATTTAATATTGTGCCTGTCCTCAGTGGGAGACAGTGACTGTGGCATGTTTGTAAAACAATACTCATCTCGTTATTTCTTTGTTTCTGGCAGGTTCCAGGAGAGACTCAAGGTGACAGTTACTTCGCTGGGAAGAAAACAATTGAAACAGTCAAAGCAGTAAGTTGGCAGAGTGCTGTATCATCTTGTTAAGAGGATTCTGACTTTTTAGTAAAAGCCTTACCCTATGCCAGCCGCATAGCCTTGGGTGGCACAAAGGCACCGATCATCGCCTTTGTCTGATGCCCTTGGTCTACCATCTGACCAGGGCACGGCTCTTAGTGAGGAGAGCGCGTCTCCTCCTGAGAGTACACCTTCTGTGTTCCCAGGAGCTGCTCTGGTGTGTCCCGCCCAGTGTGGTCTCATCTGAGCCTGGTATTTTGTCTCTTTCTTACAAATTAAAAATAAGGAAACATACTGAGACCTGAATGCTGCGTTGCACTCTAACTGGCATGTCTTTATTAAGCCAATTCAGGCTGTCACTAGCCAGGCCTTCCCGTTTCTGAGTCTTGGGCTGATGGGTGTGTGTTGGAATGATCTCTTCCTTTGCCATCTTCTATGTAGGCTGAGAGGATCATGGAAGCCATCGAGTTGTACCGAGAAGAAACTGCAAAAATAAAAGAACACAGAGCCATTTGTAGAGCAGCGGGGAAAGAGGTGAGCCTGTCTAGCAAGTTATGCTCTAGGGAATCTTTACAAAAGAATTCTGAAGGTCATTTCAGATTTAACTGTAATTCATGTATTAGAAGAAGTAGAGGAACTATGGGAGCAAAGATGCTTCTGTATAAACAAGAAAGGATAGGAAATAACAGACCAAGGTGATGAGTATAAATGTGTGTTCATACATGAGTTTGCAGAACAGGATATCAGCTTCAGATTGTTAGATAAAATACACTCATTCATCCATCCATTCAGAACTGCAAGGCATGATTTCTTTTTTGGTATTCTTTCTGGTATTTGGGTCTTTTTTCAAAGTTTTAAAATACCACTAATGTTCCATCTGCAACAAACTTTGTCAAAACCTATTTTTAATGACTGGGGCTTAATAACTTCTCCATAGGTTCCTCTTCCTGTCAACCCCATCCTGATGGCTTATGGCAATATTTCGGTGAGTACAGTGTCTGTTTCTCTCCTTAGTGGTTCAAGGGTTAACTGCAGATACATGAAAGGCATTGTGATTTGGGGGTAGATGCCCCAGGAAGCCTTTTGTCTCCAAAAGTCTTTCCTGCATCTTGGTGTCTTCTAAAATAGCTTGTGTCTCAGAGGGCTACTGATGAAGCCAGCTTCCCCAGGAGGTGTGTGTTACACCAGCCCACCTCTTCCCCAGGAGGTGTGTGTTACACCAGCCCGCCTCTTCCCCAGGAGGTGTGTATTACACCAGCCCGCCTCTTCCCTAGGAGGTGTGTATTACACCAGCCCGCCTCTTCCCTAGGAGGTGTGTGTTACACTAGCCCGCCTCTTCCCCGGGAGGTGTGTGCTACACCAGCCCGCCTCTTCCACCTTTGGTGCTTCATTATCTCAGAATCAAAACCTCTGAAGAGGTGTTCGTTTAAATGAACTCAGAAGTAAATCTTTAGAGGACCAGTTGAAGAAGGGGGGAGATGTAACAGGAGAATATGTCTATCTAGGAGTTGTTAATTGTTGGCTATTTTACTTTCATGTCTCATTCATTACAATAATCTTAGAAGATCTTCGTGGTATAGATATGAAATGGTCCTAGCTTACAAGGAAGTACAGCCAGTAAAGGAAATAACTTAATTATAACCCCAAATCTGGCTAACTCCATGCCCACACAGCCCTGCCATGTTAGGCCCTGGTGGAAAGCACGAGAGATTCACTAATGCTGCTGTCCTTCCTTTGTAGCCTTCAGCGTATGTGTTAGAGGTCATTAAAGGGGTCAAGTCTAGGTAAGTCCCTGTGCTGTTGGAGCTCGCCGGGAGAGTCATGGCTGTCTGAGAGGGGAGATGTTGGAGCTGATACTCAACTTCCTTTTCATTTTGTCAAAAATTTAATGGAAAACAATTCATTCTAATAACATTTTTAGAGGGCTGGAGAGATGGCTCAGCAGTTAAGAGTACTGAGTCCTGAGTTCAATTTCCAGCAACCACATGGTGGCTCACAACCACCGGTAATGAAATCTAGTGCCCTCTTCTGGGCTGCAGGGATAAATGCAGGCAGAATACTGTATGCATAATAAATAAATAAATCTTTTTTTTTGAAATATGTTTTTAAGTATAAAAAACCAGGAAGCTCATTTCCTGCAGTACAAGGAAGTATCATTGTTTGCTGCATTTCTTTTTGCTATTATCAATGATGCCTCAGCAAATGAGTTTATATATGTGTCTGTGCTCTTATTAAATATTTTAATATCCTTTTAATATATTCATTTGATTAAAAGTTAGAGTCAACAAGTATGTAAAGTTTCAGTTGGTCTTCTTTCTTTGTGTTCTGGGAATTTGACATACTGAAGTTTATTTTTCTAAATTGCACATGTAACTCTTATAAAAAAGGAATAGAGATGTCTGAGGATAATACTGAACTTTCACTAAAGGAGTGTAAAGGGAACTTGATAATGGAGTGCAGTAACCCATTCCAGGATGGGAGGGTTCTGTTCTGAAAGGCGAGAGTTCTTAAGGAAGAAATTTCCTATCCAAAATGAAAGCCTCTTGAGATTTCTGACTGTAATTGACAAGGTACTGGAACTTGTTTTAGAAGAAACAAAATTAAAATGGTTAAGGATCAGTGTGCAAATCACTCAATCACTCAGTCATCATTATAAACTCTAAAGCCTTGAAATACAGATGCACACACATACTGTACATCCATATACATACAGCCAATATATGTATAGAGTATTCACACACTATACATATATATATGTGTGTATATATATACACATACAATACATAAATTCAGTGTAACAGTATGTGTGCATGTATATCGTGAGAGAAGCATCATGAAGTTGAAATAGAATGGAATTTTCTACATGGCTTTATGAACAATTTTTCTGTAATACTTATGTTTTCCTCATTATTCAGGGACTAAAATATTACCTAAACAGGTGAAATATTATATATGAAAGATGTTTAGAAGAATCATTTTGAGTGTAGGTGAATATTAATGGATAGAATCTACTTGAATATAAAAGCAGGAAAAACAGTAAAGGGGAAGATGGGTAGCTGATGGTCTAAGGAGTGCGATGTTTTGTTTTTCCTCAGTGAGCTGGAAGAGGCTCTGCTTGTACTGCCCTTCTCCTATGTCCCCGACATTCTCAGCCTACTCAACGAGTTCATTCAGATGGGCACGGACATCGAGCTTCTGTGCCGCTGTCTCTTTTTTCTCCTCAGGTAATGTTTTCACAAATACTGTCTATTCAGCCAGTCTACTTCTGGTGTGGGCTAGCTGAAGCTTGCACTGCTTGGGGATTAAAAATTCCTTGTTTCAGTATCAGACTGTTAAAAACGAGTGCTTACCTTTGCGTTCTTGCCTTTAAAACAAGGATCACAGTGACCCACTTTTCAAAGTCACATGAGACCTAAGCTGCAGCTCAGGATGCGGTCTACAGTGATGCTAGCTTGTTCCCTAGCCAGTTTACTCCATTCATTTTGCTTTTAAACTGTTGAGCTTAAGCTGAGCTTTGTGCTCTCAACATTTAAAGAATAGCCGCATAATATCTCTGGGTGTCTGCAGGAAATGGAGGGACACAGGAAGGGGACTAAAGGACTTACAAATACTTAAACAGATACTTGGTGAAATGACTTAAGCATTTGATTTTTCTTGTTTTGAGACAGGATCTCGCTGTATTTCCCTGCCTGCCATGTAACATGTAGACCAGGCTGGCCTCAGATTTGCCTGCCTCTGCATTCTGAAGGCTAGGATTGCAGGTATATGCCACCATAGCTGGCCTTATTAGGTTGTTTTGAGGCAGGATTTCATTCTAGCCCTGGGTTAACCTTGGACTCACTGTATAACCTAAGATGGCCAAATTAATAGCCGTCTTGCCTCAGTGCCAGGATTAAAATAATGATCTTCCAGGCTCAGCTTTTTCCATGAGTGCTAAGCTTAGAACTCAGGCCTTCATGCTTATATGGGAAACACCTTACTCACTGAGCTCTCTATCTCTCTCTCTCCAACCCCATGTTTTCTTAGATTCCATCTTGTCTCTAGAGATTTCCATTGTCAGGATTTCTCTGGTTGGGTGGTAGATTTCTGAGAAAAGATGTGAATGTATCATCAGGTTTAGTATATTATTTTTCAAAATATCAGACTGAATGGCGGGAAACTTAGGTGATTTTTGTTATTGTTTTTGTTGGTTGGGTTTGTTAGAAGCCTGTGTTTTACTCTCATAATGGTGAATTGGATCTGTATCTTGACATCTATTTACTGTTTCTAGGGGGCTGGTAGGGCTTTGTCCTCTCTGCAGCATGACTTTTTTCTTTTAGGATTCACTTTGGCCAGATCACCAGCAACCAGATGCTCGTGCCTGTAATAGAGAAACTAAAGGAAACAACTATTTCAAAAGTCAGGCAAGTCCAGGTAAGCGTCTGTTACAGACATGTGCTCTAAAGGTGCCATATGCTAGGCCCTGTCTGTCACAACCAGACATGACCCTGTACTTAGGGTTACTTTCTGTATTAGTATAAACAGAACTTGTAAAACACTAATAGCAAGAGTCCTTAGAGAGGGGAAGAACTACAACACATTCTCAAAAGCCTCTTGCATTAACAACAGCAAAGAAGTTCATTTCCTTTCTGTGTTCCTCGCTAGGATGTCATTGGCTTCAACATGGCGGGTCTTGATTATCTCAAGAGAGAGTGTGAAGCGAATAGTGAAGTGACATTTTTTGCTGAAGCTACTGGTCTCTTGGAAGAGAAGAAGAGAAAACGAAGAAACAGGAGGAAGATGATTTTAACGCTGACTTAGAAACTGAAAGGCTGTGGGTTTTCCTGCTTCCCCTAAACTCTAAGGAACGTGTAAACGAAGCTGTGGTGGAGTTGGCATCTTAAAAATACCAAAAACGATCGTGTTGTACATCTTCGGGTTCAGCTGTCAGCTTGAGCTGAAGGAATCCAACACGGCTGTGTGTTCTGGCTCCCATCCTTTGGACTGGGCAGATTTAGTTTAAAAATCTGTGTTCTTCAGAATTGAGCCTTTATATTGTAACAAGAGCAAAAGAATATTTCTTTGTGTATTTGGTTTATTTGAATTGAAATAGGCATTTCAGAAGTGTCTCATATTTATGGCAGAGTATTTGTATCAGAGCTTTTCCATTTAAGATAATCATGTTTATTGTTGACCACTAACTGAAGAACCATGAACTAATAAAATAGCTTTTTCATTAAAACCATTTCAGATGTCTTGGTGACTGTCTGTATAATGGTGGCTAGGGTCTGCTGTAAATATGTCTGTCTACATGGTAGGAATTTGGGGAGGTAGGGGTATCTAGAAAAAGATACCTCTAGGTCTGAGCTTTTCTTTGTGGGGAATTTATATCTTCTTAAGATAAGGACGAGAGGGAAGGCCATGCTGAGTTTGTCTTCCAAAATTTGTGTCTAATGGAACCTGAAATGTGACCTTGTTTGTAAGATGATTTGTGAATATAAAGTCTTTAAGGATGAGGGTGGCCTCTAATCCGTGCAAAGGGTGACACAGAGAAGTTGACAAGGCATGTAGTATGTAAAAGAGGCAAAGGATGGAGCAATGCTAATACTTGCATCTAGACACTTAGAAACGTGTGTCCCCTGGAGCCTCCAGAAGGAGCCAGCTCTGCTGCTGCTAGTGCCTGGAGTTTAAACCTGGGCCAGCACGCTATGAGAGAATGACGGTAGCGATTTATTGTGCTTCTGTGTGGAGCCCAGGAAGTGCACAGACATTGTCATTACCTTGGTAGCTCACTCTAATGGGCACAGAGCAGAGTTCTCAGAGGCTTTATGATGGTACTTACTTAGAACAGCAGATGGCAAGAATTCCGTGGTTTTGATGCTGACAAGATTTCTAAGAATGTAAAGCAGTGCCACTGCTAAATTTCTGCGTTAGAAAAGTGATTTATTTTTATCTGTAGCCCTCCTATATACAATTGACAAATGGAGGGGCTGGAGAGATGGCTCAGAGGTTAAGAGCACTGACTGCTCTTCCAGAGGTCATTCCCAGCAACCACATGATGGCTCACAACCATCTGTAATGAGATCTGGCGCCCTCTTCTGGTGTGTGGGAAGCAGAATGTTGTACACATAATAAATAAATTAAAAAAAAATAAAATAAATAAAATAAAAAACAAATGACAAATGGACTGAGAAATCAAGGAAATGACACCTTTTACAATAGCCTCAAATAATATAAAATATCTTGGGGTTATGCTCTGACCGAGCAAGTGAAAGACTTACTTATGTGATAAAATCTTCAAGTTACTGAAGATATCAGAAGATGGAAAGATCTCCATGCTCATGGATTGGCAAGATCAATATTGTAAAAACAGTCATTCTACTGAAAGCAATCCACAGATTTGATCCAATCCCCAATAAAATTTCAACACAATTTTTCACAGAAATTGAAAGGACAGTGTTCAGCTTCATATGGAAATAATGACAGCTAAAAGCAATCCTGAATAATTTAAAACTACAGGAAGCATCACCTTCCCTGATTTCAAACTGTACTACAGAGCTGTTGTAATAAAACTAGCGTGTTATTGACAGAAACAGACACATTGAACATTAAATCTAGTTGAAGACCCAGACAATTGCACACACCTATAGACACTTGATTTTCTAAAAGCCATAAACATACACTGGGGGAAACAAAATCATCTTCCAACAAATGGTTCTGGTCATCTGATGTAGATGAGTCCAAATAGAACCATA